ACCAAATGGTCTTCCAAAGTGGCGGTACCATTTCTGCATTCCCACTAGCAGTGAATGAGAGTTCTTTTGCTCCACATCCTCCCCAGCTTTTGATATTGTCAATGTTCTGGCTTTTGGCCATTCTAATAGGTGTGTAATAGTATCTTATTATTGTTTTAACTTGCATTTCCCTTATTTGCCATCTGTATATCTTCTTTGGTGAGGTGTCTACTAAGATTTTTGGTCCATTTTTAAAAATTGGGTTGTTTGTTTTCCTATTGTTGAACTTTAGGAGTTCTTTGTATATCTTGGATAGCAATCGTTTATCAGATGTATCTTTTGCAAATGTTTTCTCCCAGTCTGTGGCTAATCTTCTAATTCTTTAGACATTATCTTTTGCAGAACAGAAGTTTTAATTTTAATGAAGTTCAGCTTGTCAGTTATTTCCTTCATGGATCATGTCTTAGGTGTTGTATCCAAAAAGGCATCACCACACCCAAGGCCTTCTAGGTTTTCTCCTACGTTATCTCCTAGGAATTTTATAGTTTTGCATTTTACACTTAGGTCTGTGATCCACTTTGAGTTAATTTTTATGAATCGTGGAAGATCAGTGTCTAAATTCATTTTTTTTTTTTGCATGTGGATGTTCAAATGAATAGTGGGGCTGTGTTTACAACATGTGAGGTATATTCAGTTATTTAGAAGAGCCTGACTGATACCCTCCCATTTTCATGAGGCCTGCTTGCTATGTTCCAGGTCAAGATAACTAGACAGGGCTACTTCTAGTCTATATGGCACCCTCATGTGTTTATTAAAAGGCACCCCTGCCATCTTTTGGAAAATTGTTATACTATGCTGGTTTGTTAGAAGACACTTAACTGCTCTCTGACAGACATATGTTATAATAAATCTACAAACTCATGGTGTGAATTGTACCATCTTGAACATGATTCCGTTGTGCAGTGCATGGCCTGCATCATCGCATGGGACATTTGCAGATAGGAAAAAATAATAGAAATCACCATAACAGTATTTGTCTATGACATGAAAACGAGAAACCAGATTCATTATAGTAACTCCTGGCAGGTTCCTGTTCAGCAAGTTGGTGGTACTGGAATGTTGTGGAGGTGGGGGTGTATGGTGGGGAGGGTTCTTTCATTGATGGCTTCCATTATTGAGAACAAGAACTTGGCTATTGCTCTTTATATGTCTTCCAGTCGGTTAGAAAGAGCCTAAAAATTCCAACTACTTAGCCAAATGGAAAAGATTCTCTGTTTACAGAGAAAACACAAAGCTTGCTTCTTCCCCATCATTAAGCAGGCTGAGTATACTTAGCAGAACTTTTCCACTTAGGGGTCCAAGTTAAGGCTATCAGTGACTTTTTGCTTGAAATCTAAACATTTTGTAGAGAAAACTATTCACAGGCCCTTTTTTCAAAAAGAATCAAATAAATAGTTTGGGGGGTTTCCATCTTGGAATTAGGATTTTTTTTAAGAAACTCTAATAAAGCCCTCTTTCAAGCCTATGAAAATTATAGTCAGAATCCAGTGGTGGACTAAGGATTCAGGAAATAGCTATTGATTTGTGAGAGAGCTTGAGGGGGTGGGGAAGGAGGGAGGGAGGGCCAGGGAAGGAAGCAACTCGATGAGAAACTTTTGCAAATGGTTCATATTTCCTCCTACTTTGAAAAGCATTCCACCAGCAGCAGTTTAAAACCTTCTCACTCTCAGATTAGCCCACCTAGGCAAGAGGTAGTACCCAGCTCAGGCAGAGCTTCTCTGAACAAAGGCACGAGAGTGGATGTGGCTGACAGATTGGTTGCAAGGTTGAGCGCAAAAGGGATTTTCAGTGAAGGCAGGCAGGGCAATAAGGGAAAGTCCAAAGCCTTATGCCCAAGGGACTGGGCAGAAACCAGGAAAGAATATGAAGAGAACTGGCAAGAAGGACCCTGATTGGAGAGAGAAAGTTATCCCGCAGAAGATTCCAGAAAGATGCCAGGGGGGGAGTCTTTTACAGGGTGCCCACAGATGAGCCAAACTAAACTGGACAGAAACCTGCCTTTTTATTTACTTTTCAAAACCTCCATGGGCAAGAAATCAGAAAATAGTGAGGGAAACAGTATCAGAAAAGAGTCAGAGAAATACATGATTATGGATTGCAAAAGACAGCTTAAAGTTCTATGCAGGAGAAACCGGGAGCGTGCACCAATTGTATTTTGATCACAGTGACAAAACCAGAGAAGCACCTGGAAGTCAATATAGAAGTGTAATAGTTCTGAAGTAGCCACATTGCAGATCAAAGGCTCTGAATGATTCTAGAAGGGAAAAAGTAGCTTAGCCAAATGCCGCTGATGACATCTCACATTTTCTACCTATTCTTTTCAGAATAATCCTCAATCAGTGACTTATTTAGGTTATTTAGAAAATGAACACTTTTAGAATTCCATGCTTGCTTGTTTTCTGCATTTTTAATTTTAGTGAAGCAATGATGAGATTATTATGACATATCACTTAGATTTTTTGCCTCAGCAATGATATAAACCCGGTGGATGTGTAGGTGGACCCACAATCCCCAGCTGAGTTTTAATTATTGTGGTTGACGGGTAGCTTAGTTTACCCATTAGCTGCATAGTCAGGGAGGTAGAGAAGAAACTTCCCGTGGAAAGACAAGCTTTTTAAAATTCACAGGAACCTGGCCTATTAGTAGATATGGCTCAAAGTGACTTCAGCTCCAACCAATAAGATGAGTAACTCTCTCCTTCAGGCTTGGGGTGGAGCTGGGTGGAAAAGTAAAGATAAAGAAACCAGAAACCTCCTCCCCACATGTCTCCCTTGCATAGTTATTAAAGATGAAGGCAATGGCTTTCAACCTTGGGTGTCCCCTAGAATCACCTGGAGCCTTTACAAATTCTGATACTCAGTCCACACCCCAGAGCAATCAAATCAGAATCTCTTAGGTGGGCACCGGGCAACTCCTAAGTGTTTTGTTCTGTTTAAGTTCCATAGGCTGTTGCTGTGCGCAGCCAACGTGAGAACAGTCGGTTAAAGAAAACAGTGCGGGTGCCTGGCATACTTCTGGTGCCCAACGAATGTGAACATCCTCCTCTTTGAATTGTTTCCTGCCCTCCTCCAACCTCTCCCTTTTCTAAACTTGCACAAGATGGCTTTGTATCTGACTTGGTCTTACATCATGTATCACAGGTGACTTGGCCTCAGAGTTGGAGAATTGTTTTCATCCTCATGTTGAAAAAGACAGAACTCTCTTCTTTTCTCACTTTAAATGTACTGTCTCATCACTTATTTTGTGCTCTTATCTTCCTTCCAATATTACTTAACTTCTTTCACTTTTAAGACCTAGAATCTGTGGATTTAAGAAGAATTCTAACTTCTGTGTCCCTAGGGATTGAACTTAGCCAAACCTCCTTGAGTACTTCAGAAGGATCAGGGTAGAAATAAAGCTTAAGGATGAAAGGAGGTTCCTAAAAATAGAGCATAATTCATCTATTTCACTTAAAAATTCCTTCATGGTTTCCAAGCATTTTTTAACTCTTAAGCATTTTTAATAACCTCACTTATGAGTCTTGTTGAAAAATAAATAAAATACACTTGTTTTCATTAAGGGAAGAGATCTTTTTCCATCTTAGTTCATATTGTTGAAGGAGACAAAAAGGAGTCCAAATCTTGGCAACAGGGGACATTATTAGTGACATATTGGTCACAGATGTGCTGGGAGAGCTGCATTTTCTTCCTGCAACTTATATTTTAAGTGCCCACAAATTACATATGAGAGTCAAGATAACCTCTTTACAAAAGAGAAGGCTGAAAAATTACGGTCTTTGCAAAATCTTCTTTTTCAAGGGATTCTAAGTGTCTTTTGTCAATAGGCAAGTGACACCTGCCCACTTGCTAGTGATCCTTTTAAGGGAGAAGTAGTGCTAGATGATGCCAGCTTTTACTTAGTATCATCAGTTCCAAATGTTCTCAGCAAGTGCAGATACCTGGAGATACTCTGGCAATATTTGGGGATTATGAATTTCCTTTCCTTAGCAATTTTTAAGAAAATCAAGAAGGCAAAACTCTAGGCAGAAAGGAACACTCCTTAATAACTTTATTGCTCGAATCTTAGGCCTTTGAAGCAAGACTATGAAGAGTTTAGCCAAATTGTGTTCAGTTGTAGAAAGTCCTAACAGGACTCTAAGGAGAGTATTGACAAGCCAACTCTGGAAACAGGGTTAGGATTCACCTGGGAGGAAGTGGTGTTGGCACCAGAATGCCCATTAAGGCAGTTGTAATAGGTGAACACTACTCCAGACCTAAAGCTTTTACTGTAAGGATGCAATGGAAGGAAAAGTTATGTTGTAAAAGAAAAAAGATAAAGAAATACATCTGATGGGCATAAAAGTAATAATGACAAACTAAAACTTTATCATAAGACTTCTTGAGAATTTTTAATTCACTTTGATAAGAAAACTAGACAAGGGACTAATTCCTGGAGATGCCAGATACCTCAGTTTTCATCACGTTTAAATTGATGAGCTAACCAGTATGAAATGTCATGCAAATTGAAAGTAAGATGAAATTGAGCAAAAGGGAAAAATTAGAAGGAGAAAAATTAGTGCATTACCTATGTAAGAAACTGAATTATGACATAGAAAAACAATGATATGGCCAAATTTCCTGACGTATAGGGAGAATATCTATTTGCATTTTTAATTCGATAAGAATATGCATTTTAAGATGATTTGGTGATCTGATGATTACAAAGACAGATGGCTTCAAATCAGGAGCTTATAATATACTTTTCAGCCCCAAAGCTATTTGATAGTACTGTCAAGGGAATACTCCTGTCAAGGAAATGTCAGTGTTTGATGTTAATCCAGTACTGTCTGGTGTCTTGTGTATTATTTGATTTTATAAATTCAAAACGTCACACATTCAGCTTTTTAAAAAGAAACCTGTAAGAAAGACTTGAAGTTCTTTTCATTCTTAAAGTGCCTTGTGTTTTTCTCCCCATTTCTCAAGGAAAGTGACAGTGTTGGAAGACCCTGATCAGAATATTCACCTGAAAAACCTGTCTCTTCACCAGGCCACCACAGAGGAAGAAGCTCTGAATCTGCTTTTCTTAGGAGACACCAACAGGATGATTGCAGAGGTAAAAAGCTTTTCTGTGAAAGCTGTTTTTGCATATTATAAGATAAACTAGAGTTTTAGGGGTGCCAATGACCTTAAAAATATTCTTGTCCAAATCTCACGTTGAGATAAGAAAACCTAGATCCGGAGAATCGAGGAGACTCCCAAGAAATGAGCAGCAACTGAAATCTAGACTGTTTAAATTTTATATTTTTCAATTTTATACAAGTTGGTTTGCAGCTAACCAGTGACAACTGGTCAAATATCTTAATTGTAGGAAATTTTGCACAATTTTTGAAATGTGAAAGTACCTAGTTCATTCTTCCTCATCTCCAGTCATTCATATATTGCATATGTTTACCTATCCATATATTTTCCTGTATTTAGTGAATTAATATTTATAAAGAATTTAGAATAAAGCATGGAACGTAGGAAGTGCTCTATGTATTTACAGCTATTATTGGCAGGTCTGGGAACAGCGCTATGGTGTGTGGTATATCTCAGCACAATATTTGTGATATACTTATACGAAAAACTATTTGTTGTTAATCTTACATTCATACCTAACTGGACACCTATATTTTACCTGGGAACCATAGGCAAGAACTAGGATTGACCCAGCTTGGTCATGGGCCCTAACCTCAACCAGTTACTGATTGGAGATGGAGGGTCACAAAGGTCTCATCCAGCGACACTGCAGTGAAAGTAATTAAGTGGTTGTGTGTGTGTGTGTTGAGGGGGACAGTTTCCAAATAAACAGCTTACTATTATCACAGGCACTTTCCTTTTTAAACCAGAGCTCTCCGAGTTCTGTGTTCTGTCTTTTCTCTGATAACAAACATTAGGTGAGGCTAGTAAGCTGGGAGAATAATTAGTCTGAGAAAGTCTCCATCAGGTGATTTTTTTTCTGCCCCATTTCTACCCCCTGGAATGCACCACCTTAGATACAAGATAGATAAATAGAAACCAAAGTCAGACAGTGACAGCATGGTGCTGACATCTGTCATTGTGTTGGGCCCTTGGTTTTGCTGTTGTTTTACTAGCTCTGCATCAGTACTTTTCAATAAACTAACTTAAATAGATTGAGCTTATGTCCCACATATAATATGGCTGTAATGACCCTCAAATTATTATTTTCATTTAAAGAAAGCAGTACATAGTTTTTAATTTCAGAATATCTTGTTTTGCTTTATAATGCTTTTGCATTGGTGTGTTGCTTCAACATTTTGCCCAGGTGATCATCTGTGATGCTCTTATTTGTCACAATAATTGAAGATTAAGGAATAAAGGCAGATTAAGAATTAGGGAGTACAATAATGAAAGATTTAACACGCCCCACTAAAAATCCTCCTCCTCCATACACAGTTGAATAAACAGCAGACCAAGAGGTACAGAATACAGATGAGCCCTGCCTACTGATGGAATGTGAAAGAGAAAAAGGTCGAGCCATAAATGATACTGGAATCAGGTGGGGAAACCTGCCCCTGCCTCAGTGCTAACCTCCTTCCCAAGGTGACTCATCCCCAGAGAAAGCTAAGCCTCATCCTCACAATTACATTCCCTCATCCTGAATGGTTGTGGAGGGCTCCTGGCCCTAGTTCACCATGACCTCTATTAGCTGAAAAGCTTGACCATTGCTGTCTCAAAGTTATGCCTTAACCTTAGCTGAATCCTTTCAGACTATCATTTTGTAAAGTTTTGAGGACTTTAAACTTCCTCTCTCCAAACTTACCTGTCATGTTCTACCACCTTACAAAATTCCAGCAGTCTTTTCCTATTATTTACTGATGAGTGTCTAACAATAGTGTCACAAATAGCTGAAACCTGAAGAAGTCCAATTCTAATAATGCTGGTTGTGAATTACTTTAAAAATGCATTCATTTTTTCCTACATGAAGCCTGATTTCTTTTAAACCACATCTAATAGGTTTTGGATGTTTCTGTGCCTGCTTTTATTTTTTCTTTGGTAATAATAGCTACCATGTCATCTCAAGAACCTGCTCAACAGATTTGGCAGTGTTGAAGACACTTTGTATATGCATATTTTATTTCTGATTCTTATTTATAGATGGTAACTAAGGCTCAAAGAGGTTGACTGCTTGCCCAGGGTCACACAGCTATCAGGTGGCAAAGCCAGGTTTCAGCTCTAAGTCTGACAGTTTCCAAAGCTTGTGTTCTTTCCTTACACCACATTTCACAAGTACAATAATCAAACTGACATAAGTCATATTTTTCAAGTGAGGATACATTCCTGAATTATTTAAAAAGTATAGCAAATATAGCAAGTATGTAGCACTTCGGTTTATCTCTTGAATTCACTGAAAGCAAATACATAAAGATATAAATGAAGAATAACTGTCTATCCCTAGAAATCCTTTATTATTTAGAGTCTCCATAAAAGGCATGTTTGGGATTACAACGGAGCTGTCAGAATGTAATTTGTCAGCACGGAATGAGCTTACCAGGATAAAAAGAACACACTAATCATTTTTTTTAAAAAAAGATGAGGTTCCCAGTTTCCCATTTGCACAGAGAAATCCAGGAGTTGCCATGGTAACCAGAAAACATTTGCAAAACAAAGTATGAATATGTGGGACCCAAAGTGGAGTGCTCTTCCCTTTCATGTTCTCTACCCATAGCCAGCATCTTAAGGAAAAGTTATTAAGAGTAGCTTCATCTTATTTTTAGAACTCACTCTTAAATAATTTCTGTAATCCTACTGATGTTTTGGATAAAACCTGATTATGTCCTTGAAGTAAGTTTTTTCAAAAGTTGATTTGCTGTGCCAAAGAGAATAAATATAAAAGCTGAACTGTGTGTTATCCAATGTTGAAGTAGCAAGTCTGACTTGGTACCTTTTTTGTCTTATCATTGAAACGTTGCTCTCAATTAATCAAATCTAATTGAACAAGACTTCCTGCATTTGATTGTCAGGCTCTGCACAGTCCCCTTGCTGCAACCATTTGCTCAGCACTGCCCATGCTCTAGAGCACTCTGTCCCCAAGTATGGCCCAAAGAGGACTTGTTTTAGAATACCCTGTGGGAGTCAAAAGGCACAGTTTCTTGGATCTCATATCTGATGGATGGATTCAGAGTCTCTGCAGTGGAGCCCAGGAAGATACATGTTAACACTTTAAATGTACTCAGGCTAAATCTGAGGGCACTTTGGGTTTTACCATTAAGAAGCTGGTTGAAACCCACTCCATATTCTGCACACCCATCAACACCACAGGATTTGAAAGTTCTGCCAATTTGGTAGGCAAAAAACCTTTGTTTTGACATGCATTTTTGATTACCAAATTCATTTATATCTTTATTTGCCATTTGCATTTCTATTTTTGTTCATGTGTTCTATTTGTTATTCTCTTGGAGTATTAGGGTAGGTCTGGTTGATTTGTTGATTCCACAAGGGCTTGGACTTGGTCTTGTTCACATCCGCCGCACCTAGAAACAAAGCCTCATATATAGTAGGAGCCAGTAAATGATTGTTGGATGAATGAATGAACATTAAAGATAATAACTTTTTGCCTTTGCCAAATATTTAGCAAATATTTTTCCTCATTTTCTACATTTTCTTTTAGTTCTCTTTTTTTTGAATAGTCAGTTTTCTTATTTTATGGTTTCTGCTTTGGACTCTGAGTTTAGAAATGCAGCAGCTCACTGATGAATAATTCTACTTATTAGAAAATGTTTTGTTGTTTTGAATTGAAATTTGATGCCCAGTCAGATCCACCCCATTGTTCCCATTTTGGCCTGCGACATGGAAAGAGACAGTCATCAGCAGGTTGGAGTGGATTTTATCGGAGGTTTCTGGAGCATGTGGATTTTACCTGAATTTTGTCAAAAGCTATCCTGAATTAACAAAGTCAGGTCCTCCCACTAGGAGCAGCCTCCACTGATAAAAGTCCCATTTAAATATTCATTTTAGGGAGTTATAATGTTGCTCAAAGTGAATCATTAGACTAACGTGGACTTCTTTTACAAGCTAGCTTGGAGAAGAGAATATGTGGGGTCCATCCTGCCAAAACTTCACAGTAGTGTCTGTTGTGGGTTAAATTGTCTTGCCCTGCCAATTCATATGTTGAAGTTCTAACCCCCAGTACCTCAGAATGTGATCTTATTGAGAGATAGGTTCTTTACAGAGGTAATCATGTTAAAATGAGGTCATTAGGGCAGGACCTAATCTAATATGACTGGTGACCCTATAAAATGGGGAAATTTGGAGACAGACACATATAGAGGGATTATGCTATATGAACATGAAAACAATCATCTGTCAGCCAAGGAGAGAGACCTGGAACGAATTCTTCCCTCAAAACCCTCAAAAGAATAACCAGCCCTGCCAGCACCTCCATATGGGACATCAAGCCCTCAGAACCATGAGACAATATATTTCTATTGTTTAAGACACTGAGTTTGTTGTACTTTGTTACATCGACCCTAGAAAACGCATATAGTGTCCAAATAACCTTGGCTATAATTTCGTATGTGATTGGTACCTGGTGTTGCTCTTGACCTTGGTGAATTCAGGAGGAATAATATGCTATACGTAGTATAACATTTCGGAAAGCCCTACAATTCTCAGCTAGCTACTATTTAAAGACAAGACTGTCATCCTGTTCAACTCTATTCTCTCAGCACCTGGCAACTACATAGTTGGTCAGTCGTTAATAGTTTTGTTGAACTGATGTGGAGAAAACCTGGCGATTTCAGGAGAAAAGACCTGTAGTCTCAGGCCCAGAATCGAGGGTGGTTTCATTGTACACTGTGCCTCTTGGTGAGCACAGAGTATACCACAGATGACTCTGACATTTTTAAGTTTAATTTGTATGCTTCAGGGCTTTTGGAGGCGGTTACTTTCTAAATAACCAGCCTACCAACAATGTCTATGGGATTTAGAAATCATTTTTCCAGGAGCTAGTAGAAGTCTCTCTGCCTAATTCTTTGCTTGAAATAAAAAAACATACTACATTTACCTAAGTTGTGCTAATGTGTTTTGTAAGCTCTCAGACTTTGCACATTATCAAACTTTTGGAGTTTTGTAACCTGATGGAAGTGCAGAGACAGTTAGGAGACAGGCTGTGAGTGGAGTTAATAGGTTTGTGCAGTTACTGGACCAGCTGTCATTGGACACATTGTCTGATAACATGAGGACAGCACAGGAAGGGAAGAGCAGCTTTACTGTGTGCTTGTGTTTGTTAACAGCTCTCTAAGCCTCGATCTCCTTGTGTGGGGTGTGTATGTGAAACAAGAGGATTTGGGATGCAGTTAGTGTTCCAGCATCATATTCCACTAGACCACAGAGAAACACTGAATAACACATCCTCACAGATTTTTGTTTGAAAGTTATGTTTGTTGTATATAGTTAGCAAATATATTCCAAGATTTGTGAGCCTAGGAAGAGCAAAATACTTAACATGCAAAATACATTTGGCCCTGCTCTTATTACAATAAGAATTGCATTCTTTTATTATTAGATCCCAATAGAACCTAGAAGCCTTAGCAAAAGATGTGTTGACAATCCTGACTTCTTCTCTTATATACTGTATATATATTACAAGCTATAGAAAGAAGGAAACTTGAATTCTGAGCACTTAATGTATCTCAGGCATTTCTCTTTCTTATATTTTATATATGAGAAATATACAGTGTTTTCTAACTAGCAATTATGTCTTATAACATAGTTTTCATTCTGCTCTCATCTAACCTGATTAGTGGTATTGCATGAACAATGAGTTTTGAGTCTAAAATGTTTAATAAAATAAATGAAGTGGTACAGTGTAGCCATTATTAGAATATTAAAATGTATTTACTCCATATACATAATTAGAGAAACCATCTTTTTGGCTGTAAAAATTTAGCTCCAGAGTTTCTTCTGGTCTTTTAAGATTCTGATTTCTGATTAAATAGCAGAAAAAAGTAATTTTTATTCTGCTCCCTATTATTGAAATTCACCACCACCGAAAACAAAAAATGAAAAATAGAGGGAGAAAAGCCATCTTCAGTGAAATAAGGAAATAGCCATAACCTCAAACCATGAGGAAATCTGCCAAATACTATGAAATTTGAATTATGGTGAGGGAGGGTGCTGAGAGCCAACACATATATCCTTCAACCTCAGGCAGGATATGGTTTCCCCTTAAAGAAAGGGTCATGATTCTTAAATGCAAATCCAATGATCTTTTAGTTAGAGTGATGAGATCTAAGAACATAAGCAAGTATGGTAGGGGAATATTATTTAGATATTCATTCTATACTATAAAGGTGAATCCAAAGCCGTTTTTATGGTCAGTGGTCTAAGCTCATTGCCAAGAAAGATGGCCCTTGTTGAGTGGGATTCAGGGACTTTGCAACTTAAAGGATTTTGCCATTCCAGACCTTTTCATGCAAAAAGCTAAGGAAATTGTGTGCTCTTAAGGGTAAGAACAAAACATGTGTAGAGTATATGTACTCAGGACACAAACTAAATTTGAGTATTCCCTTACCCATCCCCCAGACTACTCTCTAAGAAAAAAAGATGGACATGCTCGAAGTAAAATTATCAGAAGGAAAAGCACAAAAGACCTTTCCATATATATGAAATAGGAATATGGGACTAAGGAACATACATTTGAAGGCTGCTTACATCAGGGAGCAGGGCCGTATACTGCATAATCTTAAATACGTTACCTAAATGCAATCTTTGTTTTTAAAAATAGCTAAAAAGTATAGAAGGGTACAAAGAAAAGATGGCAAGATGAGAATAAAATAAAAGCACACTTGAAAAACTCAGAAAAGAAAGAGAAAAAAGGAAGTCATTATAGAGATGAAAGTGCCATTAGAAGCAAAAAAGAAGGAAGAAAAGATGGAGAAGAAGGAAGACAAGGAAAAAGAAGATGCTGAGGAAATGTGGCTGAAAAATAACCAGCAATATAAAAATAATAAGAGAAAATAATACCTAGAAAGATAGACAAAGGAGAAACCAATTGTGAATAATTAGAAATCCTGAGGGGGAAAAAAAAGTGAAGGCAACAGGAAAAAGCATGGAGCAATAGAGAGAGAAAGAGAGTGTTTCCTGGAATTTGGAATTACTTGAATCTGCAAATGAAAAAGACATGCTGTGTCCAAGAAAAAAAATGGAAAGAGCTCAACTCCAAGATAAAATCTGTTGAAGTTACTAATTTCCAAAGCTAAATAAGGAGCCTTAAGGAAATCCAGTCAGAAAAATGCAAGCCAACTATGAGTGAAAATTTTAAAAGGTTGTTCTTGGACTTTTCCACAGCAACATTCAGTGCCAGAAGACAGTGGAACAAGTTCTGAAGCAAGGATATTGTGTCCCAATAATTTTATACCCAGCCAAATTGTCAAGTTGTCCTTAAAAAAACAAAAACATCTGACACATATTTTTAATCATGTGTGAATTCAGAAAGAAGCTGAACCCAGGGATCCTTTTAAAAAATTCCTTGACAATGAAGACTAAACAACTAAGAGATAAGCAAAATAGAGAACTTGGGAACCCAGAGGCACTACAAATGGACTAGTGAGAAATGTTGAATTTATTTAAATGGACCCATAAAACTAAGCAACTATGTAAAGTAAATATTATATACCTTAAAAATTTTAAATTCATAATAGATGTAACAAAAATTGGGAGTTAGAAAGTAGAGGAGAAAGTGGTGTTACAAGTGAGCTAATTTCCTTATATTTCGAAGTCGGAAATGAATAGAAGTGGGGAGGGTATAGCTCAGTGGTAGTGTGCATGCCTAGCATGCACAATGTCCTGGGTTTAATCCCCAGTACCTCTATTAAAAAACAAACAAACAAACAAACAAATAAGCCTTCATAGCCATAGAGAGAACTGTGGAATCTTCAAAACGTGGAGAAAATATCATAGGACTATAAAATGGAGTAAAGTAATATACACAATATTAGACATCTGTGCTTCTAGAAGTCTTCCTCCAGCATCTCTACCATGAGTGACATTGTCCTCGAGTCTGTGTCTGCTACAGATCTTGATGTCTGAACCCAAACATTGCACTAAGAGCTCTCACAATCAACTTGACAGGATATTCTTTCACAAGAATGAAATTATTCACATGTGTATCTGAGCTCTTCTTGGTGTGTAATTACCACCTGTTCCTAGTTGTCTATACACAGGATAGTGTAGGGTATTTTCAGCTTACTTGTAATCTCACACTATATAGTATGTATAAAAAAAGATTTTTCTCTAAAGACAGTTTAAATGAACTGTTGTAAATTCTTGAGAAGATGATTAGACTTTTTCCCATAATAGTATTTTTTTCCAGTTATGTGTATGGTCATACTAGGAAATTGTTAAGCCAGACTGAATTTTAAAGGGAGGAGAAGAGATTCTTTTAAAAAGTTAAACTCAATTTAAAAGATTAAAAAATGGATATGCTGGACAACAAGGATGCTGTTGAGGACCAAATTTAGCTATGATTCTT